GTGTCCCCTCTGTGTCCCCCCGTGTCCCTCGGGTCCCCCCGGCGCTGCCCGGACCCCCCCGGGGCTCCTCGAGAATTTTTTTTTAGGGTTTTTTCCTGATTTTCCCCCGATTTTTGTGTGTCTCCCCCCCTCGTTCCCTCCCTGGCTCCGGCTCCGTCCCCCCCCGGGGGAGGCGATGGGAAATCTTCGTGCCTTTAAGTAAGTATTTTTTTTTAATGCCTTAATTTCCCTTCATTTCGGGTTTTTTTTTAATTTTCTTGGGTTTATTTTTGTTTCCCTTCGGCCTCCCCGTTTTGGACGGGGACGTGAGACAAAGGGACGAGCCCTGTCCCCACCCCCCTCACTTTGTCACCCCGCCGCCTTCGTTGGGATCAAACTTATCCGTATAGGAGAGGGAAAAAAAAGAAAAAAAGAGGGAAAACCACTTTATTTTCCTGTTTTGTCACCAGCCGGAGGGGCCTCAGAGCGATTTTAGCTTTAAAAGAGAGAAAACCACCCAACCCCCCCCCCAGAAAAAAGGGATATAATTTTATTACAGATGGATTATTTAATAGTATTTTTTTAATTGGGGTGGGGGCGGAGGGGGGGACAGGGACAAGCGCGTCGCGGGTTAAATTATTCCGGGGGTGGGAGGGGAAATTTGGGGTGGTCCCAAATGAGGAGAGAGGGGTAAGGTTGTCCTTGTCACCTCCCCTGGGGGGGAAGGAGCCCGGTTTGGGGTGAGGAGGGGGGGATCGTGCGTGTGGAGGGGGTCCCCATCCCGGGAGAGGGAAACGCCTCTGGATTTTGGGGGGGAAAGAGGGGCTCGGGCCCCCCCGGCAGCGTGCCCGGCTTGCTTTGGGCTGGTGTCCCCCCCGCCCCGCCGTGTGTCCCCCGTGTCCCCCCGTGTCCCCCCGGCCCCGCTCACGCTCGCTCTGGGTCTCGGTTCGGTATTTTGTAAGATGTCCCCCCATGTTCGTCCTTGTATAAATAAACTGTTTCTGGCAATACCCGCCGGGCCCGCTGCCTTTTGGGGGGGTGCTGGGGGTGCCCCCGTGTCCCTCTCTCCCCGTGTCCCCTTTCCCTGCCCCGTGCTC